CTTCTTCCTCTTCCATCGGCGATTGGTGTAACATATGAAAAAATTCTTGGAAGATGTTGCGCGCCGAATCGGCGATCATCTCCTCCATCGACCTCATCTTGTCTTGGGAGAGTAGAGTGGCAAGGAACCTCTCCTTGCCATCCGGCCCAAGCTCCTTCTCGGCCAACTCGTCCATCTTCCTCTGTATCTCCTGCCTCGCAATCAGATAGGCCGTTAAGCCGCTGCTTGCTCTTTTCCGCATCACTGCGAAAGCCGGCGAACTTGGTAGTCGGGGCCCCATCTCCGTATCAACTTCCCCGGCCTCTTCTCTCAGTCTAACTCGCCGCCGCCGCCGCCGCTCTGTTCTTTAGGGGAAGGAAGGGGAAAATAAAGCAGGTAGGGTTTCTAAGATCGGGGCGGACGGTGCGGTTGCACACGACACGCGCTCACGGGGAATAACCTCGATTTCCACTGAAAATGAAACGCCTGTCTAAAGAAACCTAGAAGTAAAAGGGAATCGCCGCGATTGATCGCCAAAGCCATAGGAGGTATCGATCTGTCTTATATATTGGGGTGCTGTACCAGAGCAACTCAGACTACAAATCGGTGTGCTACTACTCAATCCAGCTAGAACTCGGACGTAATTAAAAAGAGCTCTTTTACGGTGATTGGCGAGTTACGACTCGTAATTTCGTGTAACTCCGCCTCTGTTTTTTTCTAACTGTCGGATCTAAGAAATGATTTAAAGAGTTTTTTTGTGTGAAAAGGATAGAGTTGTAAATTAGCAGGTCAATCTAGTCGCTAGTCAATCCCTGGTACAGCCTTCGTCGTTGTTAGGCTCCTCAATCCCCTCGCACAGGCGCCGCCGCCAACCCTGCCCTCGATCGTGGCGCCGCCGGCGTCCCTCCTGTCGCTCGTGCCGCCGCCGTCGCCGACCCTCGCACAGCCGCAGCCGCCTGCTCTCCTCTGCTGCCCCAGCGCCCCGAGCATCGCCCCGTCGAATAGGCGCTCCCCACGGTAGCGCCTCCTCCCTAGATCAGCCACTGACGGCCATCAACGCCCGCGACCCAATCCATAGGAAGGTAACCCCGGGGCTTAATCTTCCGCCGCCGCCGCCGCCGCCGAGGACGGCCCTGTTTTTTCACGTACATCCTCTGACCCCGTTATCTATAACCGTCGATTCTCGCCCAGGACGAGTATCCCTCCCAGCCCCCTGCGCCGCCGTCTGCCTCTGACGATTCCACACACGTGTAGGCGACAATGGAACAAATTCAGACATTCAAAGATATTCATCGGTCAGAATATTCAGGTTTTGTACTTATGTATTTCATGCCATTCTTTGTTTGTTCTCTCTTTTGCATTGCATGTGCACAGTAAACCACATAGTCATCCATCACTGAATGTCTGAATTTGTTCCATTCAGACATTCAAAGTCACATTCCACACGCGTGTAGGTGTAGGTGATAGTGGAACCGGCCTGATCGCTTTGCAGTTTCTGAATTTGTTTGCTATGTTCTGAAATCACTTATATAAAAATCAACAAGTTTCTGAATTAATGATCTAAAAATCATCTAGTTTCTGAAAATCAACAAGTCAATAATGCTGATCGATGGTCCAAACACCTCCAAGTGTCCAAGTAGATATCACACCCATTGCGGTTTTGATAAGATTAGATTCAGTTTACGGTAGTTATAAAGCAGATGTCACACCCATTGCAGATGTATTTGTCACGTCTAGTAGATTGAGTGGTTTTGTTATTTGTGATAAGATTTCTTCTGTGATTTACTATTACCGTGAACCGATGTATTCGTAGTCAGTGAGTTGTAATTGCAGATGTCATGCCTAGGTGCTGTGTTCTCACATTTCTGGAGGTTGCATTGCATATATTTGGAGTATTAATTTCAGCAGTTAAAATATGCACATATTTGGAGTGAGATTGCCATATGTAGTTCAGAACTGACCTAGCATGCTTAATTTACACAGGATCTAAATCATGAGCTTAAGAAGCTGCTGTTTTGGAGTTGTGTGCCGCAATATGAGTAGTACATTTGTGAACCTGCTATGTAATGTTAAGATTTCAGCAAGGAAATTTGTGTGCCGCTATCCTGAACCTCCTCCGCTTTCTCTGAAACAGGTTTGCCATGTGAAGAAAAAGGATATGTGGGAGCTTTTGGATGGACAAAGGCTCCAGCAATGAAGAGAAGAGAGCTGCATTCCCTACTTGCAATTCTAGTAACTATCTTTGTTATAACTTGTAGAGTGTACCCGCAAAAAAAACTTGTAGAGTGTGATGGATTAATTGGGATGCTATGTAATCAGAGTACGTACCCTATCATATGTATCATGACTGATTGCGACCAAGGTCTGCATTCTGTGAAGAAGACTCCCATTTATATGTTTATTAGTGATACTTTGTTGCGCTTGCTCTACTACTTCTGTACATTATTTGTGGAATTGGTCTTATGTAGCACTATTTCAACTGGAGTTGGTCGAGTCCTGCTCATTTTTCAAATGTTGTGTCTTATCCTAAGCTTGTTGATAGGTGATCATTTCAGTACTGGCTTGTCATGTACTGACCCTGAACTCTGAAACTGATTCAACCAATGTGCTATCTTGATTGGTTATACCCAGGTACATGTACAGATATATGATGGAAAATATGCATTTTGACAAATTGCACCAAATTTTTAAGCAAATACTCTTTGCCTGTCTCGTGAAATGTGCCTGTGCAAATTTGCATCAATCCAAAATGTAGTGACATTCTTAGTACAACTGGTCATTTAGTTGACGTTATGAACATAAAACTGGTTTGGACTAGTGCAGCATATGCAATAAAAAAATAGTAAAAGCCATAATTAAGTGCGCGGGCATTAAAGGAACCTTTCATCTAAAAAATGAGCAACAACTCAAAGTTGAAAGCCTATTATTGTAAACATAGTCTCACAATTGTCTCTTCAATGAAGTGATTGTTGGTTCGAAAATAATGTAAACACTACTTGGGACAATAATTCAGCTCTAAAGCTTGAAATTGTAGAAAAACCAAAAGCCTACTGAAGAGGCTCGTCACTGCTGCCGAATTGTTATCTGCAAATTTCTTCCTTTTGGGCGATGACCCATATTCTCCCAAGTCCCTCTCACCGATATCCATGTACCCACATGCATATATGTCTTCTTTGGACATGCATATATGTCTTCTTCGGACATGTCCTGCCCAGAAGCATATGAAAGGTATTTAGATCATCATGCAAATGATGTGTCGCATGGTAATGCACTTGTAGCAACATGTGCAAAGAGGGTAACAAATTCAGATAAAGCAGCCATTCTTCCAAATTGAGCCAATTCTGGTTTTCGAAGAAATACTATACATAATTACTGTCCATTCTATACGGCTCCATACACTGCCTAAATAGACAGATTCCTAGCTAATTTGAAGGGAAAATGGCCATAGTCCAGTGGCATAATCAGAAGAATGTAACTCTTTTTCACAGCACAAAGGTTCTGAACCCATCAACTTGCAAGTTATATTCCAATGAAATTTACCATGTCCTGTATTACCTACTGACTCTAATCACTACCTACTGACTCCAATCACTGTAATCAAAAGCAGGGGGAAATAACTATTGCTCCCAGATATGCAATCCAAGATTTTCCTTTCATCATCAGTCCTGCGGATGATTTCTGCCTCCTCCACATATCCTGCTGTTTCCTGGATGTCAAGAACTTGCCGCTCCTTGCAGTGAATTTCTGGCTGAACACCATAACTATCACAGTCCATCTTTTGTAGGCGCTTTTGCATCGATCTCATCTTACGTGGCATCTTAATCTTCTTCATCGTGGCTGCCCACTGCAAGAGGTACAATGCGGTGTATCAGTACCATGGAAGGCTTGAAAGGGGCGGAGATGGCATTACAAACTAGTTTCAATCAGGTGGTTGAGAAAAACAATGCAGAAACTGATATTACACTTGGGATACCAGACTAGTTCTACTTCACTTTCCCCTCAATAAAATCATGGTATTTGTGGACATAGCTTACTATTGGTCAAACAAAAGAAGGCAGGGACATTTTCGAATCTAAAGGTGGTCTTGCATCAACAAGCAGAAGTAGCTTTTACTTAACATCGACTCAAAGATCAACTCCAACAGTGAGGTTCAGATCTACTTCACTACATAAAAAAGTTTTAGATGTAGTTCATTATCTAAAAATATTCATCTATTATTAAACAACATCATTCAGATCAAGATTGATAGTGACCAAATTGACAGAATCTTGCATAGCAGGTTGAAGTCGGTTTCATCTTCAAAATCTTCAAGCATGTCGGAGATGTCGTTCGCAGCATCCTTAAGCCGATTCAGCCACAGAAGCATGGACTTATGCTTGATAGACTCCCTCTCAACGTTGCCGAGCACAACCTCCACCGACTCTGGCATCATCTTCATGTTCTCCAGATCGTTCCTCAGTTTCCTGTGCAGCTTGATCTTGCCTGAAATGGTAGAATTGATCTCGCCACCTTGATGACTGCCGAGGCGAGCATGCCCCCGAGTGCCACCTCGACTGTCGACATGGCTCGTGCCTGTCGAGTTGGGCTGTCTGCGAATAGTGGATTCGTCATTGAAGCTCCGGCCCTTATCAATGTAACAAAGCATTGGAAGCAAAAAAACGAATCAGCAACTGCAGAATCAATCATGACCTATTTTACAGAATACAGATATCACACACTTGCAAATAATCAAGTCAATTAATAATATTTATAAAAGCTTAGACAAAAGGGAGTTGCCCACCTGCTCCATCAAGCATAATACTTCCATGAATATATTTGAAAGGTGTTCTCTTCTCTATTACAATATGTCATTTGATGCACTGTTAAGTGTTCGAAAGCAACTTGAAGAATTTGAATTTCCTTGCAAAGCTATAAATGATGGTCTTTGGCTTCAGGTTAGTCTATCCCTGTAAAATGGGCTTTTTCCCCTATAAATGCTTTTTTCCCTGTAAGACCATCTCAGAAACTTTGCCGATTTGTTAATGCAGATGCTCCTGTGCCACAGAGTGCAAGCAATAGTTCCTGATACTTGCAGAAACTGTTACCTTACAAGTAATTCTTGTGACTACAGGCAGGAGCATGATAGGACAAGTGCTTCAGGAACTGAAGGTAGTATCTGCCTTGCAGATGCCCAAGGCGATGGGAATGGTATGTTTAGTCCTGTGCGTGTTAACGTAAGAGGAGCAGATGATGGACTTGCTGGCATTGGGAGAGGAAACTCAAATGTGCCTGGTGCTGCTTGGGCTCCTACGCGTCATAACGAAGCAACATTCAGAATTTAGTTACATGGCCACTGTGGAAAGCTGATGTGCTTCGTCAGATATTTTTACAGTTTCCAACTAGTAACCAGAACTGAAGAGCAATGGAAGCCTTGCCTTTGCAAGGAAGAAGGTAGAGTAAGAGATATGGACCTGTAGACAGTGCTGCGCCGGGCTCTCCACAAATCCGGACTGGATTATACAGACGTTGGGGACGACCTCCACCGGGCGCGGCTGCTCCCTCTCCTCGGCGGCTTGGGCGGACTACATGCCGACGTCAGCGAGGGGACGTGGTTGCGCGGGCCCGTGGAGATATCTCCCCCGCGCCTGGAGCTCGTCCGGCGACGCCGCTGAATATGCCACCACCACGACCATCCAGATCCTCCTGCGCTGGACGCCGATCTGGTCGAGGACTCATCTATGAGGAGAGGAGCGAGGAGGAGAAGGCGCAGGAGAAGCGGCTGAGCCGGCGGCGCAGCGACCCGGGAGAGGAGGAGGCGAGCGGAGAGGGGATCGACAGATTGGGGACGAAGCGTGCAGGGCTAGATTTTCTTTTCCTTTTCTCCCAGCGCTGCACACTAAATTGGATGGATTTACCCTTTTAGAAAATGATTAGCCCCACCATAATCTTGTAATGGTCCCACAATTATTTATAATTTCATGTAATTTTAGTCTAGTAACTCCCGGTAACTCCTATTTCTCCACCGTTTGATCATAGTGAACAGACGGTCCCTAAAATCGCCAATCACTATAACAGTTGTAAATTAAAAAAGGCCCTCCATATCGGCCATGGAGCTGTACGTCATCCCGAACTGCAACTGCTCACGCTTGATCCGAACTCGCCACTCCTTTCCTTCACCGATCGCCTCCCCTTCCGACTTCCGTCCCCGTCCTCGCTTCTTTTCTACCGCAGCCACGGTTTGAACAGTACGTATCAGAGTCTAGCATCCTAGTTTATACTTCCTACGTCCCATAATATATATAAACATTTTACCCTGCAAAAAAATATAAAAACATTTTTCAAGCTTGAAAAAGTCAACTTCAAAGACCCTAATTAAAAGGTTTTTAGGACGTTCCAAAAAATTGTTCATCCAACGCTCCAACCCCATCTTTTTTAGGATTACTAGCATGTATGATGTTTTCTGCAAATGTTTCTATTAGTCAGGAATCAAATCCTTCCTTTTCTAATCTAGCAGCCCCAACACACGGAAATCTACAAATCCTTCTTTTTAATTATCCTATCTTTTTATCTCAAGTTCTTCCTTTAATTAGACTCATCTATTTGAATATTCTATTTATTAAGACCACAATCGTTCTTTTAACTATTTCACCGGTTTACACATAATCCTTTCTTTAATTAGTCACATCCGTTTAAATATTTTATTTAAGCCCACAATCCTTACTTTAATTAGCTCATTCGCTTAATTAGCTCACACTAAACACGAGGACTGCCACTCGTATATTTAGAGCGAGTTGGGATTAGTAAATGTGGATGGCGCATAGGTTGTATGTTGTTATATCGAAGATACAAAAAGGAGCTCTTGTGTTCAATTCCCACAATGTTGATTTATTTTGACCCAATTATTTTTTGCGGTCTCATGAACGCCCATAAAATGTCCATCAACATACAAGTACCTGACCCAGGTCGCTTAGTATGAAATTTAGCGTGCACTCAAACCAAACGAAAGGACTAAACCAAACGAAGAATACATATTCCTTTTAATAGTAGGTATAGATATAGATAGATATAGATACATAGCAACCCCAAAAATCCCTAAAAAAAAGTAGCCACCCCAAAAATATCCATCCCACCACTCCTGAGTGTGGGAATTATTTGATGGAACTTGTGAGTGTGTGTTTTTTTGTGTGTGAAAATATCAGATCTATAATAAAGATTCACTGAAAGTACAAAAACACCTTGTGAGTGAGTTTTTTTTGTGTGTGTGAAAAGATCAGATCTATAATAAAGATTCACTGGAAGTACAAAAACACCTCATGAGTGAGGTTGGCAGTGAAAAGTTTTTTTTAGCTGGAAATCATTTCTTCCATTAACCAAATAACTCAGCGATATCGCTAGCTACAAAAAAACCTGTAATAAATTATATTAGTAATTGATCCGACTGTTGATCTTCAGAATTGAGTAAGTGCTACTTGTAATGAATTTTATTAGTAATTTGGAAGGCTGAAGATAAACCGGTCTCCTGTAAGTTTTAATATATGTGGCTAGGATTCCTGGTACATGGCCTGTGGAATTATAGTGTGATAATAATTAGCAATGGATTGTCAGATGTAAATCCCGTAGTCTAAACTGGTATAGATGCATCGTTTAATTTTTGAGAGAGAAGTTAACCATAATCATGGACACGTGTAATGAATAGTGCATTTTATTTTGTATATGTTGAACCGGAAGAATATCATACGGAAACCAATATTCAATGAAAACTTCATGGAAACCATATTGTAAAGTTTTAAGAAAATCTGAAAAAAATATTGGATGTTAAGAGGGTAATGTTGTATTGCCACGCAAAGTTTCAAGTTGAAACACATTACGAGATGTGAGCTATGAAAAAGATAAATTCAGCCCTGAATACTGAATAGTGACATTACGGTTTGGCACTATCCAATGCTGATTTTTTTTTTCTTTTTCATATCTCACACCTCGTAATGTATTGCAACTTCAACTTTTGCGTGCCAATAATACATCATCCTCTTAACATCCCTTACTTTTTTCAAAAAAATTCGAAACTTCAATACATCTTTGTCTCATGGTTTTCACCGGTTTCCACTGAATGTTGGTTTCCATATGATATTCTCTCATGTTGAACCTGATGCAGTTTTCGGTTAATACTTCAGAATTGAGGAAATGCTACCAGTAATGAAATTTTATAGTAATTTGATGGCTGAAGATAAATGGTATCCTGTAATCTCTACTCCTAATGAAGGAGTTGGTAGCCTGGTACGGTTTATTTTCGTCCGGTTTTTCTTCGTCTCACCTCCCACCAACTCATATTTCTCCTTCCCATTGAAAAACCAAATCCTATTAAAGAGGAGATCTTGTTTTGTGCTTACCTCAGCAGGTTCTGATTCATTCTAATCACGTAAATAATACCCCCTCTATTTTTTATATAAGATGTATTTGTTTTTTTTTGATAAAATTCCATAATGTAAGCTGCATTTGTTCTAATTACTCATAATTCTAATCTTGACCCTCTATAAAAAGGAAAGTACCTCTTTATGATTGCATGCATCTCTCCTTGTAGAGAAAAAGGGAAACTATCTCTCTCCCGATTGCGTGTATCTTTTCTTTTCCTAGCCTAAATTATTTACTTCCCACTAATCCATGAATTAGACAAGGGTAATTTTGGCCTAAATCGTCTATAATTGTGCGTCTTGGTCACCATGCTGAAAATAATACACCTTAAATAATGGAATGGATGGAGTTGATAATTGAGAATTCATAACTCACACCACATATGTGAGATCACCTTTCTAAAATATAGACGTACTACTCCTAATGGAGGAGCTGGTAGCCTGTTATGGTTTGTTTTTCGTCAGGATTTTCTTCTTCTCACCTCCCACCACCCCCACCAACTAGTTTTTCTTCTTCTCACTAGTCAATGTGCATGTGCAATGCACGTTAATTTGGAAGTATATTAAGTGCGTGTGGATATCAAGTAGGATATTATTATTATTATTATTGATGTAATAAGTAGGATATTCACTACTAGGGAAAACCTTATACACAGAATCTTAGCAGCAGCGCGGTATAAAAATAGACGCTACTGCTAATTAGCAGCAACGAGCTTTAGAAAAGAGCGCTGCTAATGAATGAGTAGCAGTAGCGCTCTAGGTGAAAAGAGCGCTACTACTATAATTGCCACGGTGTTGCCTCCAGGCTAGATATAGTAGTAGCGCCCTTCCCGTGGACGCACTACTGCTAAAGAACTTAGTAGCAGCGGTTTTGCTCAAAACTCACTGCTGGTAAGTATGACTGCAACTAATTAAGTTTAGTCCCATACTGCTAAGCGAACAAGGTGTTTACCACCTTAAATATGTTGCTTCTCAACCTATCTCGAGCACTTGGTCTTCATTGAACTATATGTGTATGATTTGTGGTTGCAATATGAATCCTCGCCTGTACCTATACATGTACAGTGAGGATTCATGTTGACTATTTAGATTATACACAGAAAGATCAATGATGACCAATGTATATTTTTGATATTTTTACTAAACAAAAGAAATAACTGCTTCCATTAGTAGTAGTAGTTTTTCCCAAAACGTGATGTAGATAAGTTAGCTATAGCGCGTTTTCTGTACGTGCGCTACTGCTAGTTCGACTTAATCACTCCCCGCATCAAAATTTCGCTAAGTCCTCCTTTTCCCCCACCGGCTTGTTCCTATACTCCCTGTCGCCGCCGCCCGAGCCCGAGCGCGCCTGTGCCCTCACCGCCGCCGCCGCCACCCGCCCTCAACCTCATTGCCGCCGCTCTCGACCACACTGTCGCCGCCCTCGACCTCACCGCCGCCGCCCTCGACCGAGCCCGCCGAGCCCGCCGCCCAGGACCGCCGCCCTCCCGATCCCGAGCCCGCCCTCGCCGCCCCTCCGTCGCCGAGCACCTCCCCGCCACCGTCTCTCCCTCTGTAAGCCCCCCACCCCTCCCCAACCCCCTCTCTCTTTGCTTAGTTAGTAGATGATTTTAGTAGCAGTAGATGTTAATTTAGGGTTCATAGATAATGATTTTTAGAAGTAGTGGATAGATGTTAATTAGTAGTAGATGTATAATTAGCAGCAGTACATGTTAATTAGTAGTAGATGTAGTAGTTAGATGTTAATTAGTAGTAGTAGATGTGCTAGTTTCTTTCTATTTATAGTAAGCTTATATTTAGTAAGAACTAGTTGAATTAATAGAACTAGTTTAGTTTTAGTTGAACTAGTATAGTAAGTAAATTAATAACTAGTTGAACTACTTCATTTTTAGAAAGAACTAGTTTTTTTATTTTTATACTAAGTTTATATTTAG